TTTCACTAATTAAATCTTCATTGCATTTTTGAAAACATCAGTGTCATTAATGGCATTGCTTAGTTAGTTGGAGCATGTCCTTACACCAAAAGGTTGCAGGTTTGATTCCTGGTCGAGGCACATATGGGAGGTAGCTGATTGATATTTCTCACATTGATGTTCTCCTCCTCCTTCCCCTCCTCCTTCCCCTCCTCCTCCTTTCCTTAAAAGGCTGCGCTTTTAGGCCCCACCGGCCTGGCTCAGTGGTTGAGCGTCACTATGAGCCAGGAGGTCCCGGGTTCGATTCCCTGTCAGGGCTCATGCCCGGGTTGCTGGCTCCATCCCCAGTAGGGGGCGTGCAGGAGGCAGCCGATCTGTGGTTCTCTCTCATCAGTGATGTTTATCACTCTCTCTCCCCCTCCCTTCCTCTCTGAAATCAAGATAGATAGATAGATAGATAGATAGATAGATAGATAGATAGATAGATTGATTATATATATACATATATATGATTATATATATAATTTTAAAGTCTGAAGTTCTACAGTGCCCCGTGGAACTCTGTGCATGAGTCCAATCTCCGTGTGTGTCTGCCCATCAGAATCCAGGCCTCATGGTTTGTTTCTGGGCGGCCTGGGCGGCCCCTACGCTGTAGTAGTCAGTGGTGTCCAGCGAAACTAGAAGGGAGATCACTTAAGGGCAGTATGCTCTGAAACGCACGTTGGGGCATACCTCGTACTTCCATATTTCAAAAATAAAATGTCAACATAAAACTATTGCCAGGCATGTTTTTAAAAAATCGGGGGTGGGGGAGGGGGGCAAAACTGTTATTTAGCTTAATGAATGCAATGACTTTAAATATTCAAGTTTTCTTCTTCTTTTCTTTCTTTCTTGCCTCTGATTTCCCCTCCAAAGTCTTTCCATTCCTGGAGACTGAATTAGCATGAACTCAGAAAACTGTGTGAATACTTGAAAGGACTGAATCATGAACCATAATAATTCAAACATTAGACTGCTGTGAATGTAAGAAACTTTAGCTACAAAGTTGTCTAGATAAATTCAAATATGACTTTAGTTGCAAAAATCCATTGTGCTGGGGTACAAGAGTGAGTGTAAATCTTGGGGAAATTTAAAAATTACGTGATTAGTGGCCCTTTCACTCGGGGGTAAGAGCTGATAAAAAATTAAATCATTTAAAATGAGAGTTTGACAGTTTTAAAATTTTAATTTAAAATTTTATCATTTTTGTCATAAAAAAGGAATTGGTGACAAATTAATTTATAGCAACAATTAATCATACGCATGCATTCAATGAAAATGAGCATGATTCACAAAATATGTTTTGAACTCCTCAGAATAGTTCAATGGAAATTTCAGGGAAAAAAATGTTTAGTATTTTATGATTGAAAATTAGCTCTTTTTGTATTAAAAAATTCAGACTTAATGGTTAATTTAAAAACAAAGAATCTGAGTAAGAAGTTTTATAACAAAGGTAGCCGCTGGCAATAATATTTTATTCAGAGGAAATAAAGTGTGTGGCCATTCCTAAATGTAGTTTTTTCTTGACTGTGTTATACAACTCACTATGAAACTGACAGTCACAGTTGCACACTTGTCGCTCACACCCCTGCCAACACGCAGGTATGTGAATCCGCCGGCCTGCACTTGTTTAAAATCTATAAATGTGGCCGAGCCTACAGACGCTGCAGGGCTACGCAATGATTGACAGCGCTTGCCAAGGAAGCTACAAATGGTTTTGCTAAAAATACACCTTGACAGGAATGACAACAGGCCAGGAGACTTAATCTACTGCGTGGACTAACCAAGTTCATTACTGTCATAGATCATTCAGACACCAGTGCCTTTCCCCCAGCCCTCACCTCCTCAGATGACTCTCCAAAACCGTGTGGCAAAAAGGAAAGAAAAGAACAAAAGTCATAAAACCCAGCGGCCACACTCATCCTCACTCTGCTTCCTCTAATCACTCCCCGGGTGCAAGGAAATCCGGGGGGTGGGGGCCTGGCATTTAAACCCGTGTTCTGTGTGAGGGCATTTAAACGCTCCACGTGGCCCCGGGGCTGGCCTGGGCATGCAGAGGCGGTGGGACGCCTGGCGGCCGGTGCGGGCTGGCGGCGGGCGGATCGTGTAACTGCCGCCGCCACATGTCCCTGTCCGTCAGCCCCCTTCTGCGGCATCATCAGGCTGCAGGCGGTTCGCTTCAGAAGCAGGATCTGCTTTTCGCATCAGCGGTGCAGCCGGAGTGCCACGGGCGCCTCTGAGCAGCAGACTCCACCGCTCCTGACGGTTAAACTCGGAGTCCACGCCACGTCCAGTACTCGCGTGTGCCGTGCGAGCGTGGACTAGGGCCGCATTCCCGAGACAGACCCGAGAAGCAATGCTAACAGTGTGCTGGTCTTTCACAGTTCCCGTGCCCCTGGGGCAAAGTGTGCATGAAAAGCAGGGAACTCCACTCCCAAGTTCAAACTCGCTGCTTCCAATTCAGACACTGGCACTGTCTGCAGCTTCATTTGGGCGGGGGGAAGGGGGTGTTTTGGTGCATTAATAATTTTTTAATTGTGTCTCAGTGAAAGGCAGAAGAAAAAATCTTTAAAAGGAAAAGCCATCCATGCA